TGTGGCGCTGGTTTTGGTAGGCGTGGCACCTTTCGCCTGTTTCGTTTTGTCGCGATGCCGCATGTGCCCAGGTGGGGGCCTGGAGTTCGCTGGTCTGCTGCGGGGGGCGCCGTCATCCATCCCCGGCCGGACTGCGCGGCGGCCCCGCCAGACGGCGCCCCAGGGGGCCCCGATATGCTCCAAGCGATGCCCCCCGCCGTGCGGTCCATCGGCCCCGCCGATCTCGACGCGGGCCTCGGTGGCGCGCTTTTCAGCGGCCCTCGGGGCGGGCGCCGCGCGTTGGCCGACTCCTGCAGACGCCGACCCGCATGGGCTGGTCTCGAGCGGCACGGGCCGCTGGGCGGCTGCAGCGCCAGCGGCATCAGGCTTGGCGAGGACTGCCTCCGTTTCGGATTATGCCCCGACGTCGAGAACGACAAGCCGAAGGCGGTGAACATCGCAGGGGGGGGGGGGGACATGGAGGTGCGGACGCTCGAGGAGGCCACTGCTCACCCCTGTCGCGCGGTTGGCCACTGTCGCCAGCAAGGGCGGCGCCCTGCCGCGCGCGGTCAGCCGGGCCGCGACGAGTTCAAGGTCAAACCCAAGCCCCAATGCTGTTATCATCTACGAACGGCGATGCCACCCTGGCCCTGGCAGCAAGTCCAGCAAGAAGGGGGCCGATGCTGGAGGAACTGCCATCAGATGTGGCTTTCCTACCCGCGACTTCTCTCGCCAGCAATAAGTCGAAAGGCTTGGCCGGGGAGGCCGGGAAGGTTCTACGCAGCGGGCAAGGCGCGCGATTGCGCGCAGTTTCCCCCTTTGCCGCGCGGGCTCCGCTGCAGCGCCTCGCCGTCGCGACCGCCCGGCCGGAGCTCCAGATCGACGAAGCGCGTGCCGAAAGCAGGATTGCCCCTTCTTGGGTCCACGGGCCGCCTCCGCAAGGAGTTGGCCGCGCAGCTCGCCGCGCCTGTCGAGTGGCCGCGCTTTGGCGATGGCCGGGGCCCGGAGAAGATGTCCGCGGCCGCTGAGCTGAAGGGCCAGCTGCCCCGCGCCGACGGATTCGATGGTTGCGCTTAAATTTGGAGACCAAGAAGGCGGACCCGATCGCGAGGCCCTGGATGATCATCGCCGACCTTCGGGATCGATCATTTGCCGCACAAGCGCCGCGACGGCTCGCGCCGCCGCGCCGAGCCTCGAGGCCGAGGCGCGAAGAACGGCAAAAACTAGACCGACGAGCTCGCGAAGGGCCCGGCCAAGCAGCTGCGCGAGCCGAGCGAGACGGCCCCGCGCGAAGCGCACCCCGCGTAGCCAACGGTCGAAGGCCGCAGGAGGAATAGTGCCAGCCCCAGCGGCTCCATCATTGCCGGCGCTAGCGGCAGCGGAGGAGCGGGCCCGCAAGTCCTCCACCATGCAGCCCCACGCCAAAGCAGGCCCCCCTGCCGGCGATTCGCTGGCCCGTCGCTATCCGAATTGCTGGCGGATCCCAGCGCGCGGTCGTGATGGCCGTCAACTTTTGCTGCGAAGTGCTCGCCGCCCGTCTTGGACCCTCACTGCCGTCGTGGCATTCTCGAGCTGGGCGGGGACTTCAACGGCTCCATCGGAGTAGACCTGTTGATTCTCAACGGCTGCGCTGGCAACTAGCAGACATTCCTGAATGTGGTCGGCCTCGCAACTGGATACACACTGTGGCACTGTGGCCACCAGTCACCACCTCGGTAGGCCCCCGCCGATATTCATATCGCTATATGGGGCACCACAACGGGAGATGCGTGATAGTGGAGGATCGTTCGAGAGATACCTGTCGAAAGAACTCGAAGACATGGGCCGTCGTTCAATCACTAATGCTGCTGCCGCGCCGCACGGGGCGCCCCCGTGGAAAGACTAGTCACGTGGAAGGTCCACGCCGGGAAGCTGATCGACCAGTTCAGCATGAGGTCTGGCCAGCCCGAGAAAGCCCGCCAGACTCAATGGCTGCTCGCCTCTGCCTGCTGGTCCATGGACAGCTCAGTCAACGCCGGTGGACATTCGCCAGCCCAATGGGCACTCGGACGTGGACTTCGATTGACATGGCGCCCGCTGGGCATCGCGGGAAGGCTTTCAACTGCGCGGGCGCGTCGTGTCTGATAGTCCGCTATCCGAAAGGATCGCTGCCGCCCGGACCTCCATCCAGCAGTTGCGCTGTGATCAGTCCTTGCCCCTGGCTCTGCAAGCTTGTTCACGAGCAGACGGGGCCCAGCGCGCCCGCGATGTCCACCGTGCCGGTGACCAGGTGCACTAACGGAGGGGGAACGGCAAGCCCGAGCGCGAGCGGGCCGGCCCTGGCGTTATCAGCGGCTTCGGGGGCGCTTCGAATGCGATGGTTAGCCGCCGCCCCGCCGCCGCGAAAGTCAACCCTGGGCTTCTACGACTAGCTGCCTCGCCGGAGCTCGCGCCCTGGGGGCAGGTCTCGAACGGCTCGAACGGCAACCAGTTGCCGCCGCCCTTGCGAGGAGACCCTCCAGCTGATCAACACCACCCCTCAGACGGACTACGCTCGCCAGGCCCTGGAGGAGAAGCGCCGCGAGCGGAGGAGGTGACGAGGACATTCAGGGACCTCACAGGCGCTACACCACAGAAGCGCCCACGAACGCAGGATGCGCCGCATGCGCCACCAGCGCTGCCTGCGCCTCCAGCGCCTGTGCCTATCGTGCATTACAACGTCGCAAACGTCGGAGAAACATCTTGAAATCGTCGAGCTCATGAACTCGCCGAGTGGATTCGCTGACGGCACGGCGTTGATCACTTTGCCACGAGTGGAGGAGCTAGTGGCAGTGGCTCGGCACCTGCACCTTCGGGAGGAGACTCTCCGCCGCCTCGGCAGCGCCAGCGGAGACACCACCCGCAGCCTTACCTGCGCTACTTGACTCAGGAGCTGCTGCCGCCCAACCAGCTGCACCGGCTGACCCGCTACCCGCCGTGCAACTGGAAGATTTTCGCATCGGCTCGCCCGCGCCAGCGCCACAGGACTTGTCGAAGGGTATCAAGAAGATTCGGACAGCTCAGTGTCGAGTTTATCGTCGGCAAGCGTGGCGTTCTGGAGCGGATCGACGCCTGCGGTTTTGCCGCTGGAGATGAACGCAGGCATCGCGCAGGGCCACAACAGTCGCATCGGCCACAACCCGCGCAGCGTGTACATCAACTGCAAGACATGCAGGCGCCATGCAGCCTGGCTCCGTTGCAGTTTCGGGCTTCACGCTCCAGATTTCACGAATATGCATCATGCGGCACGGCCCGAGCTGCAGACTCGTTGGCGGCAGATTGGCGGCGCGACGCCAGCGAAGACGAAGCCCCCGGTCGGGGGCAAGAAGGTGTTGTTTGGCCCGCCGCCAACCGGAACCGCTCCTGCCAGCGGCCGCTTGATGCAGTGCCGCGTAAGATCTTGCAGTTATTCCTTTGGTGGGCAATCGTTGCCAGCGGCGATGACGATCACCCTGCTGCGTGCCTAGCGTCGTTTTTTACCAAGTAATGCGAGTACTTAGGCGGAGAGCCTGTCGGAATCGAGTTCTCCTTGCGGGCGCGTGAAGATGCACCTTGTAAAGTCGCCCTGGGGGCAGCCTGCGTCGCACGATGCCGAGCAGGCCGTTCGCTTTCCATCCGCGTCGACGAGGTACCGAGCTCGGCACCCCCGCCGCACAGATTATCATAATATCTGTCCGCGCCTAATGTAGCCGCGAGTGGCTTGACAGATGCCCGCCGTTACGGCCGCCCAAGACGGCGACCAGGAAGAGTGTGAATCAAGCTCGCTCCCGAAAGCCCCGAGGGTTTCCTAGAGGCCATGCTGGGCCCTGCCGAGACCTGTGCTCTCGCTCCTTCCCTGCCCTCTGCGCGTGCTGCTCTTGCCCCGCTCTTCCGCGATCATGTTTGTTCAATCCGTTTCAGGGTCTTTTGGTTTGAGACCCACGCCAGTTGTTCGAGCCGCGCTCACAGCAACAGAAGCCCCCGCGCCGAAGGCCATTCCATATCACAGCGGACTGCGGTTGCGGCATGCCACGCGGTTGCCCCCGCCTTGGAAAGTTCGCCGTCCTGCCCGTCTGGCGCCGCCTTTGCGCCTCGCGTTTCCCCAGCGGTTGCCGGCAGGGCTCCCGGCTCCCGCCAGTACGACAGTTGGTTTGGATCCTGCGGATGGGCGGCGCGCGGGTGCAGCATCAACGGGGCGTTGGCGAAAAGGATGCAATCATCACAACTTTTTTTTTTTTGCCATCGTCGTCCTCACGGCCCTTTCCATCTCAATCACCATCGCTGCCGTCATCATCGCCACCGTCGTGATCATCATTGTCATCATCGTTGTCTTCGCCCTCGTCGCCACCGCCATCACCATCATCAGCATCGCCGTCGTCGCTGTCTTCGCCGATGTCGTCGCCACCATCATCACTCGTCCGCCTGTGGGTAAACAAAAACACAGCGGATAAAACCACACACACAAAAACACACACTGTGGGTAAAACGCACACAAAACACACAACAAACACACACAGTGGGTAAAAAACACACACTGGTACAAGAAAATTACACAAACGCACGCTTGTGGGTAACACACACACACACACACGTCTGTGTGTGTTTTTACCCACAGTGTGTTGTTTTTTAAGCTACAGACGTCTGTGTGTTTTTTACCCACACCATCTGCATCGCACGGGTCCTCGCGTTCCTACCTACTCCAGGCCAGTTTTGCCAAACGGTTGCGAGTGGGTGGGCGGGACGGCTGTTCGAGCATTGCAGCTGACGGCTGGCATCGGGGGTGACCACAGGCAGTTGTCAACAGACCCGCGCGGAGTGCACATTGCGCGTGCCGCAACGCATTGTTAGGGATCCATGCTGGCAGTATGTTAACACACACACACACACACACACACACGCACACACACACACACATATATATATATATATATATATATGTGCATAGGCAGGAGACGCAGCAGATAATCAACGAAGGTCACAGCCTGGTGCCGCCATCAGAGGCCAGCGGATCCCGCGCAGCCAAGGTTTTCAACGAGCTGGAGAAGCCCAGGGTGGTCATCAAGGCCACGGGCGGAGCGCTGACCAAGGCGGTCACCCTGACGGAGGTCATCAAGCGGCGCTTCAAGGGCCTCCACCAGATCACGACCCTCGGCAGCGTGGAAATTGTGGATGAGTACGAGCCTCTCGAGGAGGGGCTCGAAATGGTTACTGACACCCGCACCGTCGCGGTGCTTGACGTCGTGCTCTCGAAGGAGCCATTGGACAGCTCTGACAAGTGTTACCAGCCGCCCATCGATGAGGCATTGGTTACGGATTTCGACCCGGAGCAGGTGGGCAAGGGCCGCGGCAAGGGACGTGGCAAGGGCAAGGGCAAGGGAGAGAAGGGCAAGGGAAAGAGCAAGGGCAAGGAAGAGAAGGGCAAGGGTAAAGGCAAGGGTAAGGACAAAGGCAAGGAGTCGTCCGAGCCGAAGGGCAAGGGCAAGGGTAAGGACAAGGGCAAGGATTCGTCCGAGTCGAAGGGTAAGAGCAAGGGTAAGGCGAAGGGCAAGGACGAGACATCAAAAGGCAAAGGCAAGTCCACATACGAATCGGGCAAGTCGAAGTCGAAGGGCTACGGCAAGTACGATTCCTACGGCTACGACAGCTACGATTCGTACGGCTATGGGAAGAGCAGCAGCAAGGGCAAGACGGGGAAGAGCTCCGGCTACGGCGGCTACGACTCGTACAACAGCTGGGGGGGATCAAGCTACGGCGGAGGGTACGGTGGTGGAGGCTATGGCTCGAAAGGAAGCAGCTACGGCTACGGCTCCAAGGGCGGCGGCTACGGCGACAGCTATGGCAAGTCTGGCAGCTACGGCTCCAAGGGCGGCGGCTACGGCGACAGCTATGGCAAATCCAGTGGCAAGGGCAAGAGCAAGTCCAGTGGCTACGGCTACGGCTACAGCTACTGAGCACCCAATGTAGTCGCATCTCAGCGCATACTGCGGGGTGGAGTCCCAGACATCCGACGATGTGATCTCTTCAGTGCGCGGCCCCAGGGGGTCCCGACCCCCTCCTTGCGGGTCATCTTCCGCCCCGGGCCCATGTGTTGGAGGCCCCTGGGCCCCACGGCGGGTCACAAAGGCCGACGCCGAGGAGAAGCGATGGGTTGAGCACCGCTCATCGCTGGAGGTCTTGAGCTCCAGGCCATTCGGGGGCCTTGAGACGGGGGTCAACACAAACGGGGGTCAGTCAGAGCGCTGGATCTTGCAGGATCCTGTTTGGCCGGGGGTGCACTGGCCCGGGCTTGGGTGCAGGATCCTGCAGGATCCTACAGGATCTTGCAGGATCCTGCAAGGCCTGACTGACCGGGGGCTGGATTGACCCAGGTGAGTAGATCCCCGAGCCATACCATTCGGGCCTCCAGCGGCGGTTCGGGGCGATGCTGGCCTCAAGGATCGCCCTCGGCGAGGCGCAGCTGCCAGAGAGCCTCCCGAGGCGAGGAGAACCTCCAGGAACCCGACAGCCGGCATCCCGAGGCCGAAACCGGGGATACTCAGAGGAGGATCCTTTTCGAAAGAGTACCTTTTCGAAAGGGTACCGATGCCGCAACCCTTCCCTCGTTCCCCCCCCTGGACCTCCTGGGAGGCCCTCGTCGCCACCGCCAGATCCGCCTCGACATGCTGGTCAGAGCGCGAACCCAGGAGAGGTCCGAGGAGTAGCGGTATCGGTGTCTTCTGGTTTCCCTAGAGAGTCATCGCCGGGGCCGAACAGAAAACGCACCGCCCGAGATCTGAGGATGTGGAGTCCTGCGCGTCGGTTAATGGGGGGGTGATGAGCGGGCGGGGGCGAAGACACCTTCACCGTTTTGGCTCCTGTAGGGCCCCTGTGGGGCCTAGAAGTGTACAGTCAACCCTTCCAAGGCTACCCTTGCATCCTTGCCCCGTCGGCCCCGGCCAGCCTCTTTCGAAGAATGCGATACGGCTCTCCGAGACCCTTGCATCCTTACCGCGCATCCCTATGATACGGAGTTGTCTGTACGAGGGGTGTACTTTTCTCCGCTCCCCCTGTTCATCCAGGGGCCGCCACGGGGGCGCGAAGTTCTTCGCGATGCGCGGTCTGCTCCCTTGCTCGTTCCCCAGCTTCCTCCTCCTCCTCCTCCTCCTCCTCGTCCTCGTCCTTGTCCTCCTCCTCGTCCCCCCCTTCCTCCTCCTCCGCCTCCTCCGCCTCCTCCTCCTCCTCCTACTCCTACTCCTGCTCCTCCTCGTCCCCCTCATCCTCCTCCGCCTCCTCCTCCGCCTCCTCCTACTCGTCGTTCCCCTCCTCCGCCGTCTCCTCCTCCTCCTCCTCCTCCTCCTCCTCCTCCTCCTCCTCCTCCTCCTCTTCGTCCCCCCGTGCCCCTCCTCGTCCTCCTTCCTCCTCGCCCTCCCCCCCGGGGGGGGCGGGGCGGCGCGAGGTCGCGAAGGCTTCCGCGCTCCGCGCGCGGCGGGGGGTGCGAGCCTGGCTGCCCCCTGCTCATCGCCCGCCCCCACGGCTCGGCAGCAGCTCACGGGAGCCACGTGTATCTTCGGTTGCACAACACACAGATAATATATATATATATATATTCAACACATGCCCACACATACTTTTCAATATACATATATATACATATACATATCCAACATATGCCCACACATAGTCAACATCTATATATATACACATATATATATATATATACATATATATATATATATATATATCCAGCATCTGCTCACACATAATTTTCCAGACATGCCCCCAACAATCCTCCCCAGACTACTGTTTTCAGCTGTGTCTGAAGATTCCTCCTGTAGAGGGGCAGGCCCGACTTCAGCCCAGGGCCGGTGGTCTCTCTCCCGCCCGGGGCCTCCTGCATGGGGGCCCAAGTAGATCGGGTCGAGAATGGCGCTGACGAACGAACCACACGCACCCATCCCCATAATCCCTCGCCCTCATTCATCCAGACCTTCCGTGCTGACCTTCCACACTCTTGCGCTCCGTGAAACACTGAGTTCTCTTGCGCCTCCCGAGGCTTTCAATAGTTCCAATGCATCACCTTCCGCGCCAACCGCAGAGGTCGGAAGGTATGGAAGATGGAGGTGGAGGGATAGAAGATGAAATTACACCAGAGACAAACCCCAATCAGTGGATGAATTGAGATCGATGAGGAGATCGACCAGGAACCCGGGAGCCTGGGAACCCGAAACCCACCGAAATCGGCCCCGAACCAGTAGCCAAGAACCCAGGAACCAGGAACCGGGAAACCAGGAACCCAGCCGGTTACCAAGATCGTTGGGAAACTTGCGCAACATTTTTCCATGTCCGTTCCGACCCTTTCAGTGCCAGCGCTGATTGGGGGAAGTCCCGTGTCAAATGTGCATCCGCGTGCGCCATCGTCTCGTAATCGATTCGAGACAGAGAGAGAGAGAGAGAGAAAAGGGAGAGAGAGAGAGAGGGAGAGAGAGAGAGAGCGCCCAGACAGCGTCGATCTGGCGTCGATCTAATATAGCATCGATTTGCGTCGGTGCGTGCCGGCCAGCGTCGGCACGTCAGCGCAAGAGCCGGCAGGATGGCACGAAAGCCGGCATCGTTTCGCCAATCCCCATTTCAGGAGGGGAAAAAACACACAGACACAATTAATCGTCGATTCCCTCGAACATGTGGAAAATATTGGAAGTGGGGGGGAAGACAGAAACCCAGAAAATATGGAATATGTGGGTAACTTTCTCATTTGTGTGAATTTATTTGTGTGTCCTGGGGCCCCTTCACAATCCCCATTCCCATCCCCATCCCCTTCGAGATCCCCACCAGATTGCCACCCCAGTTGGGGATACACCCCTCGAAACCCGAAGGGAACATCCTATATCCCCATCGAGGGGGGTAGATCGGCCAGTGGGGCCCAGGCCACGCCGCCGGGGATGGGGATCGGTTCAGCGATACTCGGCAAGGCCCCCTTGGGGGCCGAGATTTGCGAAAAGCCTCGGCCTTGACTTCTCCAAGACGTTGAGTCTCTGGGTAGTCTGGCATCGACTGGCGTCGGTTCGCGCCGGCCAGCGTCGGTCAGCGCAAGAGCCGGCAGCCTGCACGGACGAAATGGGTACGGAAAGAACGGGCACAATGCCCAACAGCAGTTCCTGCTCATTTTGAAAAGGACTCGCTGTCCGCGCCCTCCGCGGCCCGTGTCCATTCGAGACAGGAGGTCGCCTGCCCAACAGCGGCCGCTGTTGGTTTGGGACAACATTTGTTGTTGGGCATGGTGCCCATTCTTTCCGTGGCCATTTCGGGCGTCCAAAGAGCAGGAGGTGGAGGAGGAGGATGAGGAGGAGGAGGAGGAGGAGGAGGACGGGTCGCCGAAGCCCTCCGGGAAACCCTCCGAAGCCATCTCGGGCGTCCAGAGGCCGGATGGCACGGGAAGGCCCCCCCGCGAGTTGCCACGGAGCGCTGCCCCGAGCCGGGCGCCGCCGCGGCGGCGCGGTGCCCGCGCGGGCCCCTGCATAAGCCAGGCGCCGCCGCGGCCGGCGCCCCGCAGCAGCCACGGGGCAACGGCAGTGACGAACGAGCAAGGCACACCCATACCCATAGGGGGGTCGTTGAGAGGAGGACTGGCTATGGGTATGGGTGCGGGTTGTCGGACCCTGGGGAGCGCTCCCGTTCGAGCGGGGACCCCCATCCGACAACACGCACCCGTAGCCCTCTCCGACCCCCCTATGGCTATAGGTGTGCGTTGTTGGTTCGTCAGGCAGGGAGACATCTGGACGCCCGAAGAGGGTACGGAAAGAATGAGCACGGTGCCCAACGGGAGTTCTTGTTCTCTCCACCCGCCAAACCACCCCAACCCAACCCGAAGGCTTCCATTTGCCCTGCATTTCCAGTGGGGGGGGGTCTTGGAACATCGACAAAAACACATATGGAGCCCATACCCCCCCAAACCCGAAATTCGGGTCTTCGGGGTGGGTTGGGGTGGTCTGGTAGGCAGCCATGTTCATTTTGAACAGGACTCGCTGTCCGCGCCGCCGCGGCCCGTGTCCATTCGAGACAGGAGGCCGCCTGCCCAACAGCGGCCGCTGTTGGTTTGGGACAGCATTTGTGCTTGGGCATGGTACCCATTCTTTCCGTGCCCATTTCGGGCGTCCAAACAAGAGGAGGAGGAGGAGGAGGAGGAGGAGGAGGAGGAGGAGGAGGAGGAGGCAGAGGAGGAGGAGGAGGAGGAGGAGGAGGAGGAGGAGGAAGACGCGTCCACAGGGGGAGATCCCAGACGTGCTCGCGTCGCCCAGGAAATCAGGACGGCAGGCTTCCTCGCCATGGTCGGCCTCCGGGGGCCCTCGCCGGGCTCCGGGGGGGTCAATTGAGGACACAGGGCGACAAGCCGGCCCCGGGGGGGAGGGTTGCGGCTCCGAGGACCGCGCATTGATTTGGACGCCCGAAATGGGTGCGGAAGGAGTGGGTACAATGCCCAACAGCAGTTCCTGTTACTTTTGTTGAAGAGGACTTGCTGTCCACGCCGCCGCGGGCGTGTGTCCATTCGAGACAGGAGGTCGCCTGCCCAACAGCGGCCGCTGTTGGCTTGGGACAACATTTGTTGTTGGGCATGGTACCCATTCTTTCCGTGCCCATTTCGGGCGCCCAAAGGAGAGGAGGAGGAGGAGGAGGAGGAGGAGGAGGAGGAGGAGGAGGAGGAGGACGGCAGGAGAAAGAGGAGGAGGAGGAGGAGGAAGACGCGTCCACAGGGGGAGATCCCAGACGTGCTCGCGTCGCCCAGGAAATCAGGACGGCAGGCTTCCTCGCCATGGTCGGCCTCCGGGGGCCCTCGCCGGGCTCCGGGGGGGTCAATTGAGGACACAGGGCGACAAGCCGGCCCCGGGGGGAAGGGTTGCGGCTCCGGGGACCGCGCATTGATTTGGACGCCCGAAATGGGTGCGGAAGGAATGGGTACAATGCCCAACAGCAGTTCCTGTTACTTTTGAACAGGACTCGCTGTCCGCGCCGCCGCGGCTTGTGTCCATTCGAGACAGGAGGCCGCCTGCTCAACAGCGGCCGCTGTTGGCTTGGGACAACATTTGTTGTTGGGCATGGTGCCCATTCTTTCCGTGCCCATTTCGGGCGTCCAAAGTTGAGAAAGGCAGGACTTCGCATGTCTGGGATAGTCTCAGGGTGGAGCCCATCGACCCCCCCAAAGTGCCCTGAGGTCGCCGGCAGGGTGCCGATAGGCCCACGCCACCCCACCCGGGGACGTGCGGATGTGCTGTGGAGGGCCTTGTTGCCGATCCATCTGCGACGTAACTCAGGAGGAAAGAAACACACACACACAGACAAAGAATCGTCGATTCCCCAGAGGTGACTGTGGGAAAATATGGGAAGTGGGAGGGAAGACGAACTTCCAGAATAATATTGGAACTACGGGTCATCCTGTGATTAGTGTCAACTGGTCTGTGTGTCCGTGGGCCCCTCCGCCGATTCAAGGCGGACGTTTCCCGCCCTGCGATCTCGGGCCTCCTGCGGCCGTTCGGGACGACCTGGGCCCCCGCCAGGGTTCAGCCGCTGGAAGGCAGCCCGAGGCAGGGAAGCCGCCGGGGATCGAACAGCAGAAAGCGTAAAGCATCACCTGTTGCCGGTTCAAGCGGATTTCGTGGGTCGGCGCGGGCCCCCTGGCGGCGCCTCCGCCGCCGTCCCTGGCTCGACTGCACGTGAGAGTGATCCTTCGCTGGAGTGATCTTTGGTGCGGGCCCGGTTTGGCCCCATCGCCGAACGTGATGCGACAATAGCGTCTTGCGCGCTTGGGGTTGACCCCCCGCGGCCCCAAGAAAGCCGCGCACGATTGGTCACTCTTACCCAGGGTCACTCTCGCGTGTAGCCGACTGGGGGAGTCAACCCAGACCCAAGAAATCCGCGCGGGCCGTCGAAAGTTTATGCTTCAGCTATGTGTTTTCTTGTACCTCTAAAGAGGTCATGATAAGGATACGTTCCAAGATGCCCATGGTTTCCAAGATTTCTAGGTGTTCCGCACGGGCTGCAGAAACGAGGACCGGCAGATATTCTGAGATACTCTGGAAAACTTGACACGCATCCCGAGCTAAGCTTGTCACGACAGCATTGAAATTCTCGTCCTAGATTCGGGCAGCTCGATGAGCGGCCGGGGGTGTGCTCGGACTTTGTCGGGCACGTGGCGAAATCCGAGCCCCAACCCTGCCTTCCATCGCCTCAGGCAAGGGAGGAAAACCACCCTGAGTGCGACACGTTTTCCAGGTGCTTGAACTTATTTCTGGGATGCGGTCCTTAAGTACGATGGGGCCAACATAACTCTACAGGAGGAAAACTCAAACATAGTTTTAAAACTAGTCTGGGGACTATTTTTGGACTATTGTTGCATATGTTGGCGCAGTTTTGGACGATTATGTTTCAGTTTTCGTCCAAAATCCGCCTGTAGGGGTACATGCCCGACCTAAGCTCAGGATGGTGGGCCGACCCTGAAATCCTGGCGTCGTGTTTGTGTCGCAACGGGCGATCCGTTGCCCTTCGGTGGCAAATCCTGGGAGCCTGGTATACCCGTTAAATTCCGTCTTCAGCGTCGGTCAGCGTCGATGAACGTTTGGAGTCGATGAGATAGCGCCGATTTAGCGTCCGTTAGCTTCCATTAGCGTTGATTCAGAGTCGATTAGCGTCCATTTTGCGTAGATTAGCTTCGATTCGCAAGGGCCGACAAGATGGTATGGGAGGCTCCCATGAGTTTCCACCGAACGAGGTTGTACTTTTGTTGGTGGCGTCGGGTCTCAGGGCAGTCAGGGGCAACGTGAGGGGATCCTTCCTCCCTCCTCTTCCCACTCTCCTGTGCAGCCTCTGAGCTTTGATGCGCCTGACTGTGTCCCAGGGGCAAACAAGAGGACGCAAACATAACAACTCGGAGGTCCGTGCGGAGTGCTCGGCTCGACGCTGGACCCCCCTCCCTGGCGCGCCAGGGGCGCGCCAGGGGCGGTGCCGGAGGCGCCGCTGGTGGGCCCCAGCGCCGATCCGAGGAATTTGCGCGGACCTCCGAGTTGTTATGTTTGCGTCCTCTTGTTTGCCCCCGGGACGCAGTCAGGCGCATCAGAGCTCAGAGGCTGCAGAGGAGAGTGGGAAGAGGAGGGAGGAAGGAACCCCTCACGTTGCCCCTGACAGCCCTGAGACCCGACGTGGGCCCCAGCGCCGATCCGAGGAATCTGCGCGGACCTCCGCGTTTCTATGTTCACCTCATGGTTTCTTCTCCTGTGGGTCTCGCGGCCGCGCGGTAGCTCGCGTCCCGTCCTGGCTCCGCACTGCCGCCCTGCTCGGCCGCGCAGCCGGGCGGGGGGCGGCGGCCATCCTTCAGTCGGGCGCGTCCCTCTTCAGGGAGAATATCCCAAAATAGTCCAACAGTAGTACGGGGACGATTTGTTGATAATGTTTGAGCAGATTTGGCTCACTCTTTGGGGTATTCAAACAATTCCCCCAGAACCCTGCACCTCCATCTTCCATACCTTCCGACCTCTGCGGGAGGCGCGGAAGGTGATGCATTGAGACTATTGAAAGCCTCGGGAGGCGCAAGAAAACTCAGCGTTTCACGGAGCGCAAGAGCGTGGAAGGTCAGCGCGGAAGGTCTGGAAGAATGAGGGCGTGGGAAAGCCACCCGACCTGGGACACTGGGAAGCCGCCTGCAGCAAACGATGGCACGAGGATCGAAGAACGCATGTTTTCAACGACCCATGATGGGCAGTCTCGGCTACACGCAAGATTGACCCTAGGCTCAGGTCGGGTGTGTCCCCCCTACAGGTGGATTTTGGACGACAACCAAAACATACTCCAACAAACAATACCCCCTCACTATTCAAGAGTGTGGAAGGTCAGCGCGGAAGGTCTGGAAGAATGAGGGCGAGGGAACCCGCCTGCAGGGGGACACGCCCGACCTAACGCAACCGGGCGTGGGGCGGCGGCCATCCGCCCACGCCGGCCCTGGCTCTGGGCAGGACGAAAACCCAGAAAATACTGGAAAATATGGGGGATCCTGTTACTTTGTGTTTTTATTTGCGTGTCCTTGGGCCCCTTCAGTTCAGTCTTGGTCATGGTCCCCCTTCTCCTTCGCCAGGGGGTGACCCCTGGGTGTGGGCCCACAGGGGTACCCCCAGCACCGGCCTGCACGCTTGGACCTGGCGTCTCCGCGGCCCCCATGAAGCCTCGGTCCGAAGGTCTCTCGTGCCCAGGGCTTAGTCGGGCCTGTCCCCCTCTACAGGGGCAATGTCAACAAATAGTACAACAATAGTCTGGGGGCGATCTGTTGCGACAATGTTAGGATAGTTAGGGGGTATTGTTTGTTGGAGTATGTTTTGGTTGTCGTCCAACATCCACCTGTAGGGGGGACACGCCCGACCTGAGCCTAGGGTCAATCCTGCGTGTAGCCCAGACTGCCCATCATGGGTCGTTGAAAGCATGCGTTCTTCGATCCTCGTGCCATCGTCTGCTGCAGGCGGCTTCCCAGTGTCCCAGGTCGGGTGGCTTTCCCTCGCCCTCATTCTTCCAGACCTTCCGTGCTGACCTTCCACACTCTTGCGCTTCGTGAAACGCTGAGTTTTCTTGCGCCTCCCGAGGTCGTCAATAGTTTCAGTGCATCACCTTCCGCGCCTTCCGCAGAGGTCGGAAGGTATGGAAGATGGAGGTGCAGGGCTTTCCCACTCCCTCTGTCTTCAGGGCGCGAGCGGAGATTCAGGCTGCTTTCACCCCCCTCCTACTGCATGCGCCTGCCCACCTCCTCCGACCCGATGGGCACGGTGGGCTCGGGCGGGCTTCGGGGGATCCTCGCGTCGCCATGGCCGGACGCAGCACGGCCACGGCGGTTCGTTTCGACCCCAGGGGGGGGCCTGGTGATCGATTTTGAGTCTCCGTTGTCTCAATGCGCCCTGCGCCGAGGATGGTTCACTCGCATTGCATTGCTCCTCCCCCCCAAGCCTTTTCCAGCCAGCTCTGGGTTGAAAAGGCGTGCAAGTGAGTCCCGGCTTGCGAGAGGTCGAGATCTCATGTCGGGACTCGGTACGACCCCCGCCCCCCTCCCCCCTCCATGCAGGCAAAGGTTCAGGAGAGAAAGAAGCACACAGACACAGAATCGTCGATTCCCAGGAAGATATGGGAACACATGGGACTTGGCATCGCTCGGACGTGTGGATTTTTCTGTCGGCGAGGACCATCGAGGAGCATCCTTGATCATTCGGCGAAAAAATCTCGCACGAAACCGAACAAACACAGGGAATGGACGTCCGAGCGATGGCCAGGGGAAGTGTGGGGGAAGACGAAACACCCGAAAACATGGAAACAGATGAGGAATCCTGGGAACTCTGTCTAGTTGTTTGTGTGTGTCCCTCGGCCCCTTCCGATGTGCCAGGGCACAGAGAGTTGCCCCCTCCCTGCTGGGCGGACACACCGAGCCCGCTGCCCAGTACGGGCCTGTCGGGTCGGCCGGAGGGGGGATCAGGAGGAGGAGGAGGAGGAGGAGAAGGAGGAGGAGAAGGAGGAGGATGAGGAGGAGGAGGAGGAGGAGCAGGAGGAGCAGGAGGAGGAGGAGCAGGCTCAGAAGGAGGAGCAGCCTCAGGAGGAGCAGGAGGAGCAGGAGGGGGAGGAGGAGGAGCAGGAGCAGGAGCAGGAGCAGGAGCAGGAGGAGGAGGAGGAGGAGAGGAGGAGGAGGAGGAGGAGGAGGAGGAGGAGGAGGAGGAGGAGGAGGAGGAGTGGAGGAGGAGGAGGAGGAGGAGGAGGAGGAGGAGGAGGAGGAGGAGGAGGAGGAGGAGGAGGAGGAGGAGGAGGAGGAGGAGGAGGAGGAGGAGGAGCATGTCGCGCCTCGGTTGGCGCGCTGCTGCGAACTCCGATGGCCTGCAGGCTGCGGAGTCTGCTGCCTGCCGCCGGTGTCGGCTCCGCCGCGGGGCCACTTGGCGCCTCGGTACGTTGGCGCCTCTGGCGCCGGGGAAGCCAGCTGTGCGAGCTCAGTCTCGGGCCGGACGAAAGGGGGGGAATTGGGAAACGGGGGTTACGAAATCTGCTGCATGCAGCTGATTTCGGCCTCACCGAGGGGCCCATTCCTCGATGCATACCCGCCTCCGGCGCCAGGAGGCGCCGGGAAAATCGGCTACGTGAGCTGATTCTCCCCCCCTCCCCCTTTGCTATCCCCCCCTTTCGCCCGACCCGACATTCGTTGCCGCTGCCCTTTCACCACCCCGCCTCTCTCGTCCGACCCGAGCCGGGCCGGGATCGGGGGAGGTGGGCAGTGTCGGCGGCGGCGCCCGGGGGGGAAGCGAGAGGGGGCGGGCCTTCTCAGAAGGCTCGGAGGCTCTCTGGCCTCCTGAGAAGCGGCCATCTCTTCCACGAAGGCGCAGAGCACCTGTCAGAAGGCCAGAGGCCTTCTGAGAAGCCCCTGCGCCTTCCGGGAGAGCCTTCTTCTCCTCGCTTCCCTCCCCCGCTCGCCGCCGATCGTTGGCGCCCTCCCGTGTCACGCACGCAATCCGTTTCAACCTGTGGGTCGCAACAGGGAGAGCCTCGTCGAGCGATCAAAAAGAAGGCTCAGCATCACCACTGGAGTGTCTGACGACAGTGTCACCAGCACCTCCCTCCCTTTCGGGGGCTGAACAATGACAGAAGCATAGAATTTCGGAGGTCCGTCGATTCCTCGGATCGGCGCTGGACCCCCCTCCGTGGCGCGCGGAGCGCGCCAGGGGCAGCGCCGAAGGCGCCGCCAGGAGGCCCCAGCGCGGATCCGAGGAATCTGCGTGGACCCCGAGTATCTGCGTCAATATGCTTGTTTCTCCCCCTATCCTTCCTCCTCCGCTCTCCCCACCTCCCCCCGCTTACCCTCCTCCTTTTCCTCGCCCCTCCCTCTACCCCATCCCTGCCCCCCCCAATAGGAATGTCGTGGGGCGCCCTTTAGGACCGCGCGACCAAGGTCGATCGCGGGTGGGTCGCGGCTCGCTCTTGCGCGCGGGCCCAAGCTGAGGCGGCGGCGTCGGCGGCGACGCCGCCTACGCCGCGGTTGACCCCCGCGCCACCGCCGCCGATGACGACAAATGAAGAGCCTGAGAGACACTGCTGGAAGGAGGAACGAGCAGGCCACACACAACCCCCGATCGAGCACTGAGCCCCGGTCCGCGGAGTCACCTCTTCTTGTGCGTCGCGTGCCTCGTGCCCCTGCGCCTTTCTGTTGCTGGCTCGCCTCCTTTTTGCCGTTCCAGCGGCCCAATGCCATGGCTTTCTGTTGGAGGCAGCACGCGGTGCCGAGAGATAAGACGCCCTCCCTCCGCTTCTCTGTCGCACGCTGCGGCGCAGCAGGGCCGCGGTGATCCTGTAGCGCTCGAAGGTGGAGGCCTCATGCTGGTGGACTGGGCTGTTGCGGGAGGAGGAGGGGAGGAGGAGGAGGAGGAGGAGGAGGAGGAGGAGGAGGAGGAGGAGGAGGAGGAGGAGGAGGAGGAGGAGGAGGAGGAGGAGGAGGAGGAGGAGGAGGAGGAGGAGGAGGAGGAGGAGGGGGCAGTTCCCGTGCTGTGCGTGGCCTGCCCCTGGAACGCTCGCCGATGATCGAAGTTCCCCAGGCAGGGCTCATGCATCAGGGGCGGAAGAAGGACGTACACACACATGAATCCACGTTGGTTTCGAGAGTACTCAAAGCGCGAGTGTTCGCATCACGCGGCCGGTCTCGCGGATCGAGGGGCCGTGTTCACGTACATAGTTGGGCGTGTACGTCCTTTGTTGGCTCCCCAATGCAGGCCTCTGACGGGGGGCCAGGCGAGCCGCAGCGGCCCCCGACGCGGGGCGCTCGCTCGGCGTGGGGCGCCGCCGTCGGCCTGGAAGCGACCGGCGTCGAGCGATCCCCGAAGTCCTGGCGTCTCGGTGCTTGGTCGAGCTCGGCTCGGTCGCCCAGTCTCGCGCTCGGGGACCTCACCAGATCCATCCAGCCTGAAGGGAAGTCAGGAGGAGGAGGAGGAGGAGGAGGAGGAGGAGGAGGAGGAGGGGGAGGGGAGGAATTGGCGGATGATAACTAGCATGAGGAGGAGGAGGAGGGGATTGAGGAGGAGGAGGAGGAGGAGGAGGAGGAGGAGGAGGAGGTTGAGGGGGAGGAGGAGGAGATAGAGGAAGAGCAGGAGGAGCAGGAGGAGCAAGAGGGGAGGAGTGGAGGAGGAGGAGGAGGGAGGAGGGAGGGGAGGAGGAGGAGGAGGAGGAGGAGGAGGAGGAGGAGGGGCAGGAGGAGGAGGAGGACGAGGACGAGGACGAGGACGAGGAGACTCTGGAGACTCTGCCTGATCGCGTAGCGATATGAATATGAGGAAATTAGACCTCCGCCACCCCAGCGGGGGTGTTGTGAGCTCTGGTGGCCTTCTCAGCTCAACTAAGGGCCTTCGGCCAGAGCCCCTTGGAAATACGCTTGAGGTACTCCTGCCACGAAGGGGTGAGCCTACCGCAGGGTTCCCCGAGTTTCCCGAGAACCAACTGAGCGTAAGCTCCACACTTAACACAGAACCACAAATTCAGCCCAGCGTGGAACCGAGAACGGTGGGTACTGTGTACAACCCCCCCCGCGACATGGACAGACTTCCCATGAGGGGCCTCCTTATAAGTGCCGTCTACGTTGTTAAGCTCAAAACATTCGGTGAGGAGCCAACGAGACCTCGAGGCCTTGCTGGAGGAACTAAAGCACCTAGTGCACTGAGAGCCTGTGGGGTCAACAGAGTGCTGGGAGCCAAATAGGGCACAAGAGCGAGGGGCAGGCGGTCGGTCGGCCTTAGGCGCTACCCGCCTCTTAGGGCGATGCTCCCTCTGACACTGAAATTCGTGCTTGTGGGCCTCGAGAGTGTCGAGCGCCGTACGTAACAATATCATGCGAACCTGAAAAGCTTTTTGTTCAGCCAGCGCTACCCGCTGACGGTGCTCAGGTGACACGCGTGCTTCACTGGCGGCAATACCTGCGAGAGCGTCCGCAACGCAATTGCCCACCGCCAAAGATGAGGCAATCCTCCCTTGAATGACATCCTGCGGCTCGGCGTGAGAAGGTATCCAGATAACTGTGACCGACCTTTTGCGTTGAGCCGTCGCCTTCTTCAATCTAAGCCAAAGGTCAGCGTCACTGCCTGCGGGTTCCTGGATCTTGCCGTGATGGAAGTTGATGTAACATGCTTCATTGTCGGTGAAGAAAACGATATCCTGGTCTGTGGCCTCCATTGGCGCGACGAGAGCGAGGAGCTCTCCCCTGGGTACAGTCTGGTGGGGACCTGGTAGCGGTCCCCAGAAAGCAGCACGTATCTCCATGTCGTTGTCCTCGAGGCTGGTGAATATGGCAGCTCCGACACCGACCCTCCGAAGATGTGGGTTGTTGGTGTCCTGGCCGCCACTTGCATCTCCGAAAGCGTAGAGTGTGTCGACGGGGGCTCGTAGACACCGTGGGAAGAACTCCTCGAAACCATGGCAAGTCCACTGTTCGTGTTGTGGCGGTTGTGGTACCTCCGTCCATGTTGCTGGCATTAGTCCCCTAGTCCAGAAACGCTCGTACATGTCCCGCTGGGCGTAGGCCTAAGGTCGCAAATAGTTGGTGCCCTGAATGATGGGATTGTCTTGATTGCCTTCGCATTCCCAGGCTCGGTGGAAGTCGTCTTCATTGGCCAAACCGCACCTGGGGCACTTGGCGTCTACGTCTGGCGCCTTTGTCTCTTGATAGACTCGCTGTCGTGTCCACATAGCGCCCGTGGCGATGGCGGGCATCAAATTGGACAGTCTTACACCATGTGGCACGCGCTCTAAGTAGGCGAGTAACCTGCGGTAGGACCTGTTGTCAGCACCATGCTGCAAGCCCTCACCTCCATGGTGCTTGCTGGCGCAAGTCCACAGTTGATGGCAGATGCTGGTGTCGATGTCAAGTAGGAGCTGATGTGGGATGTCGGCGTCGGGGGGACCAGAGAGCTCTGTGACGTCAATCACCCAAGAGTCGCCGCTGAGACCTGCTGTCTGAGGCATGTGCCATTGAGTAGGTCGTGCTGGGTCCCACCCCATCTGCATGAGGTAGTGGATGCTGGTGGCTTGTGGGCCACGTATGTGTCGGACACGCTGCGCTGCTGGGATATGCTTGAAATGCTCGACGATCTTAGCCCACGTGCTGTTGATGGCGTGGTGGAGCTGCTGATCGGAGGTCCACGCAGTGAGCCATGCGATAACAGATTCTCGTGGCAACTTGCGTGCTGGGTCACGTTTTGCAGCCTTGAGGTCGAGGAGGGTGGTCAAACACCGTCCTCGAAGCCGTGGTCCGACCGCATCTCCTAGACGCCGTCTGCACGTAGTCATGGCCGTTCCAAATGTGCCGTAGAGTTGGTGAGCGTAGTTGGCTGCTGCGAGCCCACCCTGGATGGCCAGCCGAGGTGTGACATGGTAGCGCTTGGTGACACGTGCTACCCTGACGATCTTGGCATGCATGCTGCGGTGCCGTAGCCGTCGCTGTGTAGTAGTGGCCCGCGCCTGCCTGGTGCCGCTGTGAGGTCGGCCCCCAGGTACGCGGCCTGCGCACGCGGCTGGATGGGGTAGCCCTTCATGCGCATGGCCTTGGCTATGTACTTGGCGTCCTGGATGTGGGTGCATACTATGACGCTCTCCTTGGCGATGCTGAGGCCGTAGTCCTGGAGCGCCATGCAGGTGTCGGTGAGAACGTGCGCCATATCGGCGCGCAAAGCGCGTCGGCTGGCCTGCATGCGCTGTGACAGGTCATCGACCCATATGCGGTGACGTGCCTGAGGATGGCACGTGGTGACATGGAGCAAGGCCTTGTAGGTCATGATTTTGGCGAAACGCGTGCCCGATCGGAGCCCTTGTACCACTGAGCGTGTAGGTTGGATGGCATCAGCGTAGGCGCCGCTCTGCATGAGCGTGCGTGGCGCCGTGCACTGTAAAACCTCAAGTCCCAGGATCTCTGGCGGGAAATTGAGCTCTAACGTCTCATCGATGAAGGTGGTCCAGTGTATGGAGTCATACACCTGCGAAACGTCGAGGAGGCCGTGAGCTTGCGTGATGCCGAGCTTGGCGGCCACCTCCTCGTGGAGGCTGCGCTCGTAGGCCTCACGGAACGCGGAGTTCCCCTTGGCGATGGCGTCCCAGTGGGCGAAGTAGTCCTTGTTCCAAGCCTGAACGCAGGGTTCCCTGATGAGGGACCAAAGACGAGCGATGATGGTCATGATGCCGAGTATCCTATCCCCGTTGTCCTTCTTGGCCCTCATGACCCCGAGAGTGTGAAGGAGTATGTTGAACTGGACGAGGACGAGGAGGAGGAGGAGGAGGAGGAGGAGGAGGAGGAGCAGCAGCAGCAGCAGCAGGAGGAGGAGGAGGAGGAGCGAGGAGGAGGAGGAGGAGGAGGAGGAGGAGCGAGGACGAGGAGACGCGGAACGAGGACCGAGGAGGAGGAGGAGGAGGAGGAGGAGGAGGAGGAGGAGGTAGCAGCAGCGCAGCAGCAGGGAGGAGGAGGAGGAGGAGGAGGCGCGAGGAGGAGGAGGAAGGAGGAGGAGGAGAGAGCGATGAGCGAGGAGGAGAGGAGGAGCGCGGAGGAGCGAGGAGCGCGAGGAGGAGCGAGGAGGAGCGAGGAGGAGGAGAGGGAGGAGGCGAGGAGGAGCTGAGGAGGATCGAGGAAGGAGGAAGAGGAAGTGTGGAGGAGGAAGAGGAGGAGGAGCAGCAGGAGGGAGGAGGAGGTTCGAGGAGTAGGTTCGAGCAGGAGATTCGAGGAGGAGGAGGAGGATGAGGAGGAGGAGGATGAGGAGGAGGAGGAAGAGGAGGAGGAGGAGGAGGAGGAGGAGGAGGAGGACCGTCGGAGGTCCGGGCCCGCCTCCTCCGCCTCCCTCCCTGCCGCGCCTCCCCGCGCCTCCGTGCCCCTCCGGGCTCGAGGGCCTCCCGCGCATCCCCCTGCGCCTCCACGCGCGCCCATCCCCGCCCCTCCGGGCTCGAGGGCCGTCGGGGGCGTGTCACGCAGGGCGGGTGCCCTCCCTGCGCCCGTGCTTCCCGCGGCCCCCGCCCCCGCCCCCCCCCCCTCGCGGGCGGAGGCCCGGGGGATCGAGGGGGATGATGATGATGATGATGATGATGATGAGGAGGAGGAGGAGGAGGAGGAGGAGGAGGAGGAGGAGGAGGAGGAGATAATTCATTGTTCCGCTTCCCTCTCTCCCCCCACCTTTCGTCTGCCTTTCGTTGCCAATTTTAGAAAGATTCCCCCTGACAGTGAATATGCTCACACGGCTCACCAGCTCTATTTCCCCCCCCGCCCAGGGTCGCGTCTGGCGGACTCCGGAGGAGGAGGAGGAGAAGAAGAAATAGGTGGACGAGGAGGAGGCGTTCATGTATTGGTCTTTTCCTTCTTGTCTCGCTCTTCATCTTTCGGTCTCTCCGGCCTCCTGCTGCTGTCTCTCACAGGTCCTCCAACAGCAGGGGACTCTTGCAGCGGAGCCGCCGCATGACCCAGGGAGGGGATTGTCGTGCCCGCCATATTCTCAGACCATCAGAGGCTCAGTGGCTCAGGAGGAGCAGGAGGAGGAGGAGGAGGAGGAGGAGGAGGAGGAGGAGGAGGAGGGGAGGAGGAGGAGGAGGAGTCGAGAGGTCGATTGCGATGAAAGGGGTGAGGGAGGAGGAGGAGGAGGAGGAGGAGGGGAGGAGGAGGAAGACGAGGAGGAGGAGGAGGAGAGGAGAGGAAGACGAGGGACGAGGGAGGTGGAGGAGGAGGGAGTTGGAGGAGGAGCGAGGAGGAGGAGGAGGTTGGAGGCGGAGGAGGAGGACGGAGGAGGAGGAGGAAGAGGAGGATTGAGAGAGGAGGCGGGGGGAGCAGGTCGCAGGCTGCTGCAACCGTTTTCCTGCAGCTCCGACAGAATGAACGAGGGGGGAGGTGGGGGAGAGCGAGGAAGATGAGATGGAGAGGAGGAGGAAGGAGGAGGGAGGGGAGGGCGAGGGTAGGAGGAGGAGAGGAGGAGGAGAAGGTGGAGGAGATGGAGGAGGAGGAGGAGGAGGAGGAGGAGGGGTGGAGGAGGAGGAGGAGGAGGAGGAGGAGGAGGATCAGGAGGGGAAGGAGGGTGGGGGAACGATGTCGGGAACTCGTACGGGTGGGTTGGGGTTTTGGATGCCCCTTTGTTGATCAGAGTAGCAGATGAGGACCTTTTTTGTTTTTTGTTCTTTTTTTTTGTTTTTTTTTTTATGCGCCCGCCCTTCAGAGCCAGGGAGAGGGTTTCTTTTTTTTCCGTTGAGCGCCTCCCCTCCCGTTCCACCTTTTACGCAGTTGTTTATCTCAGCCTTGAGCCCGGCGCCGCAGAGAGCGCATTTATAGTAGCCATCTCTCGCCGGACGCTCGTCTACGTTCGGGCCGAACGAAAGGGGGGATAAGGAAAGGGGGGGGTTACGAGCTCTGCTGCATGCAGCTAGTTTCGGCCCCGCCGCCGGGCCCATCCCTCGATACATGGGCGCCTCCGGCGCCGGGAGGCGCCGGGGAAATCAGCTACGGGAGCTGATCCTCAAACCCCCCCTTTGCTATCCCCCCTTTCGCCCAGCCCGATACGTGGCGGGGTATTTCAATCCCACTCCTGAGTACCACGTTTGAGGCAGCTCCGTAGCTCCACGATTGCATCGCCGCGCTTGGCACTGTGCTCCCCCCCAAAAAAAGAGGTGATGAGGACCACAGGATACTGAGAGGGACGGGAGGGGCGGAGAGGATCAGCGGTGATCGTGGGTTCGGCCCCCCTGTGCCGCTCTCGCGGCTGCACACGGGGAGCCTCAGGGGCCTCCCGGCCCCACAGCGCTGGAGATCGCTCTGGCTGCCGGGGTGCCCTTGATAGACCGACGAAGGACATGGCGCGGGGGGGGCGCTCTGTGGCGTCGCACGCACCGCGGCTTGGGCACCGACGCGGGCGGGCAGGCCTACGTGCCCGCAGAGGGGCCCGTGAAAACGGGCGAGCAGGAGAGAGCAGGAGGAAGGAGGAGGAGGAGGAGGAAGGAGGAGGGAGGAGGAGGAGGAGGGGGGAGCAGGAGCAGGAGCAGGGAGGTGAGGAGCAGTAGGAGGAGGTGATGAAAGAGGAGGAGGAGGAAGAGGAGCTAGGAGAGGGAGGAGGAGGAGTGGAGTGGAGTAGCAGGAAGGCAGGAGGAGGCCGAGGTGGAGAGGAGGAGGAGGAGGAGGAGGGAGGGGGAGGAGAGGAGGGAGGAGGAGGAGGAGGGGAGAGGTGGAGGAGGAGGAAGGGGTAAGGAGCGAGCAGGAGCAGGAGCAGGAGCAGGAGGAGCACGGAGGGGAGGAGGAGGAGGAGGAGGAGGAGGAGGAGGAGGAGGAGAGGAGGAGGGGAGGAAGAGGAGGAGGAGGAGTTGGGGTGGCCCGCTGTGCTGTCTCTCCCGCGGCGGCAGCGCGTGCCTCGCTCTGCCCCTGGCCCCCGGGGCCTCGAGCAGGGCCGCGGGGCGCCGAGCGAGGTCGGGCGGCGCGCTGCCACAGGCGATGCCCTCGGGCGCTGCTCGTTGTCCTGCGTCTGCGCCTCGGGCCCAAAAGGGGCGAGGGGGGGAGAGGAGAGGAGGAGGAGGAGGAGGAGGAGGTGGAGGAGGTGGAGGGAGGAGGGAGGGTGGAGGAGGGAGAGGAGGAGGGAGGAGGGAAGGAGGAGGTGGGAGGAGGGAGAGGAGGAGGACGGAGGAGGAGGTGGAGGATGGAGGAGGAGGAGGGGAGGAGGGGAGGAGCAGGAGCAGGAGGAGGAGGAGAGGAGGAGCTAGGAAAGGAGCCTGGAACTAGGAGCAGGAGTCAGGCGGAGGATGAGGTGGGGAGGTGAGGAGGAGGAGGAGGAGGAGGAGGAGGAAGAGGAGGGAGAAAGAAGGAGGGGAGGAGGGGAAGAGGAGAGGGAGGAGGGGAGGGAGGAGGGGGACGGAGGGAGGCGGGAGGGAGGGAGGATGAGGAGGAGGAGAAGGAGTAGGAATGGAGGAATGGAGGAATGGAGGAGGAGAAGGAGGAGGAGGAATGGAGGAATGGAGGAATGGAGGCATGGAGGAATGGAGGAATGGAGGAACGGAGGAGATCCGGGAACCGAAGGTCCGCAGCTCGCAGCTCGAAGGTGGACGAGAAGGAGGAGAGGCACAAGGAGGGGGGAGAGGGAGAAGCATGGGTAAGACGAAGAAGAAGAAGAAGAAAAAGAAAAAGAATAAGGGAGGAGCACGAGGAGGGGGAGGAGGAATCTGGAGTCTGGAGTGGCCTACCTCCGAAGCACACAGGCAGTGGTAGCCGCCTTGGGCAGCCCCCGGGGACAACGCATGGTCCGAAGGTCTGGCAGGTTTAAAATAAAATTCTGGGTGTGAGGCGCGCGCGAGGACGGTAGGGAGGAGGGAGAAGGGAGGTGGTGGTGGTGGTGGTCAGTGCAGGAGGGGAACGTGTCCCGAGCAGGGTATCACGCAACACGACCAGGACGACGCCGACAATGCGTAGAAAAAAGACAGCGCGCAGACGATCCGCACCGAAGCACGGATAAGGAGAAGGGCCTCTCTGCAGATTCGGTGAAACAGAACATCGTTGAGGGGTGTTGCAGTCTCCGTTGAGCACAGGCCCCCCCAGAGCATCAGCCACACAAGTCGGGTTTGCACCCTCATGCCCTGCTGGACTTTGGGCGCGCTTCCGGCACTGCCATGGCCGCCGCCACCCAGGGGAGGAGGCGGAGGCGAGGAGGCACGGGCGGCTTGGGTTGGGCCGTCCTCGTGGCATGCCTCGTGAATGCCGCTTCCCCTCGCAGTCCAGCAGCACGCTCCGGGCGCGCGCGAGCTCTCGTGCTCTTTCTCTCTCTTCCTTGCCCTTCGGCGCTGGCCCCCCAGGCCAGGGAGCTGCGCAACTAGCCGCCGAGCAGACCAAGAGGAACGGACAGACGGACCCGGACATATCCGCTGGTCCGATTTGTGTTCGCTCCGCGGCCCCATCCTGCTGAGGGCCCGACCGCTTTTTTCAGGGGGCGCTTCGCCGCCCCGGGCCCACTTTTGATCGGAGATCTGGGGAGGAGGACGAGGACGAGGCAGAGGAGGAGGAGAAGGAGGAGGAGGAGGAAGAGGAGGAGGAGGAGGAACATGAGGAGGAACAGGAGAAGGAGGAGGAGGAACAGGAGGTGGAGGAGGAGGAGGAACAGGAGGACCAGTGTAAACCCAAGGGTCATCAACGATGTTGGAATAAACCCTCCCCCAAGCTCCCTCTTCAGAGGCCCCTACAACGGTTCATTTCCACTGAGGACACTGCCTCGTTGGAAGGGAACCGTTTGAAGACCCTGAAGCATGCCACAACATTGTTCTTGCGTCTTGATGATCCTGAATCTCACCAGAACACCATTCCTGTGATTTCAACACCGCGAGTCAACGTACCTGTTGCGTCCTTACAATTCTGAATCCATCCGAAACATGTTTTTGGTACGTTGATCATGGAAATCCGTGAAACAGTCGCTAAAAAAACGAATGCGCAAGGCGCTAACGCGAGAACCGCATTCTGCGGCGCGAAGGCGAGACCCACATTTTGAAGACGACCCGCCCTCCATCTGTGAAGCTGTTGCCAATGTCAAGTTTCAGGGTCATCAGTGGTGAGGAAGTGTCAGGCGAAACGCCCCGCCCGTCCCAAAAGACTGGCCTCGGGGTGCGACAGGGAAAAGCTATTCCCCAACCAGCGCTTACACTGAAAGGGGTCCGAGCGGAAATTGAAAGATTTGGCGACAGTTTCCCGCCGATTTTGGTGACCAGCTGGGTTCCCGGTTCCGGGCTCCCAGGTTCCTGGATATTGGTTCCAGGCCGATTTGGGTGGGTTCCGGATTCCCGGGTTCTCGGTCGATCTTCTTTATCGGAAACCATCCATTGATTGGGGGTGTTTCTTTGGAGATAAAAGGAAACTTCTCGCCCTCATTCTTCCAGACCTTCCGTACTGACCTTCCACACTTCTTGCGCTCCGTGGAACGCTGAGTTGTCTTGCGCCTCCCGAGGCTTTCAATAGTTTGGATGCATCACCTCCCGCGCCTGCCGCAGAGGTCGGAAGGTATGGAAGATGGCGGTGCAGGGAAAGCAGGAGGACGAGTAGGCGGAGGAGGCGAAGGACACCTCCACCCCCCGCCGCCCCCCGTCGCCCGTCGCCCCCCGCCGAGGCGCCCAGGCCCGCCGGACGCCGGGGTGCCGCCCGATAGTTGCGCGGCGCTCCCCTCCCCGAAGATGGCGGCCGAGCCGCCGCGGTCGTGCCTGCGCAAGCGGGGGCAGCCGCGCAGGCGGCAACGCCGCTCGACGATCGACGACGACGACGACGACGACGACGACGACGACGACGACGACGACGACGACGACGACGGCGACGACGACGACGACGACGACGACGACGACGATCGCCGCCGGCGCCGCCGCCGCCTCCGCCGCCGCCGCCGACGACGACGACGACGACACGCGGGCGGCAGCTCCGCCAGCGGTGGCAGCCCCGGCGGCGGCGGCCGGGGCGGCCACGGCTACGGCCACGGCCAGGGCGACGACCGCGGCGGTGGCGGCTGCGGCGGCCACGAGGATCTCGGGCGTTCGCAGGGGACGTCCTGCTTCGGCATGCATTCCAGCAGCTGCACCTCGCCGAAGGCGTTCCTGGGGTGTTAGAATCGTCCCGAGCGGCCGCCGGAAAGCAGAGTCATGACTTGTGACCCTCACGCCGGGCGCCCCAGGACCGCAAGAAACATTCAGAATGGAAAAGCTGTCCCAGGGAATGGGTCGAGACCTCTCTGGGGGTCCATGTCAGGAAATCAAGATGTGATTTCGTGGAGTCGGCTCCGCGGCGTCATCTGCGGCGGCGGCCACGACGATTCCTGCAATCCTGGCGTGGCAATGTGTTTTTTCCATAGCGGGCGGTTTTGCTTCGCTTCGGGCCCAGGGGCCCTCGCGGATCGATTGGCCTCCGAGGATGCCGCAGGAAGCTCGAGGACAGGGCGCTCGTGTTTCGTTTGCGGTATCCCACGGGTCTCAGGGGCGTCGGCCGCGGCGGCGCCCACGACGATCGACGACGACGACGACGACGACGACGACGACGACGACAACGACCATGACCACGACCACGACCACGACCACGGCGGCCGCGGCGGCGGCGACGACAACGACGACCCCGACGGCCACGGCCGCGCCGAGGCCGCCGGCGTCAAGCCGCGCCGCGCCGGCGGCGGCGGCCGCGACGACGGCCACGGCGGCGACGACCGCGGCGGCCCCTTGCGGCCGCGGCCGCGCGGAGGCCGTCGGCGCCGGACCGCGCGGTGGTGACCGGGCGGGTCTTCGTGGCGCCCACGCCGGGGGCCCCCGAGGCGGGCGAGGCGGCGGGCGAGGCGGGGCCCCCGCCGCCGTGCCGTGCCGACGCGGGCGGCGGCTGGCAGGCCTCCTGGCAGGCGGGCCTGGGCGGGCCGGGGGTGGGAGGTGTGAGCGCCGCCGCCGAGGGTGGCAGTCCTCCTCCTCCTCCTCCTCCTCCTCCTCCTCCTCCTCCTCCTCCTCATCCTCTTTCTCCTCTCTCCTCCTTCTCCTCCTCTTTCTCCTCCTCTTTTCCTCCTCTCCTTGTCCTCGTATCCCTCCTCCTCCTCCTTCTCCTCCTCCCTCCTTTCCTCTTTCTCCTCCTCCTCCTTGTCCTCGTCCTCCTCCTCCTCCTCCTTCTCCTCCTCCTCCTCCTCCTCCTCCTCCCCCTCCTCCTCCTCCTCACGCGCAGAGGGGGGTGGGGGGAGGGGGGAGGGCTTCTCAGAGTCAGAGGCGACAATAGGGGCGAGTAGCCCAGGGGAGAGCAGTACATGTAGTCAGGCGCGCCGAGGGTCTGTGTCTTCGAAAAGGCTTCCGGGGCGAATGCAGTCGGGATGTTGAAGAAAGAGCCCTTTTTGCTGGGGAGGGGCTCAGTGTTCCGTAGTTGTTCAGCAGTTCGCCTCAGGGATTCCGTGGGCCTTCGATGGGAAATCGAAGTTTATCTTATGGAACACAGGGGCCTCGTTCCTTTTTTAGGGTTCCTTAGGTCAACGCCCCGACAGTACGTGTAATGTCCGCTCCTGGGCTATTCGCCTCTATCGTCGCCGCCGATAGACGCACCCCTGCTTCTTAGAAGGCGCGGGCTTCATCTATAGATGTAAGGCCAGCGCCTTCTAGGAAGCAGCCTCCTTCTAAGATGCCCTCCCCCCTCCCTCCTCCCCCTTGTGCGCGCCGCCAAAGTCGACTAGACTTCAGTCGGGCGTGTCCCTCTACGGGGGGGATATCAAAAAACAGTCAAACAAGAGTCTGGGGACGATGTTCTACTGTTTGGGATTTGTTTGGAATGCTTGTCTGACAATTTTTATTTATTTTTTTCGGCCAGAATCTCCCTGTGGGAGAACATGCCCGACCGAAAGTCTAGACGTGCGAGTGGCCTTCCGCCGAAGTGACCCTAGGTGCGGGCCCAAGGGGGTCCCCCGATCGGTGAGCGCGAGGCGGCGGCAGCGGCTTGCGCGCCCGGAAGTGGCCTCCCCGCGCCCCCCGTGAAGTCGCGCACCAGGGTCACTCTTGCCCTGGGTCACTCTTACCGTGTACCCTTGTGCTGCCCGTCCCTCGTTTTCGCCCTGCTGGATCTCTGGGGGCGGAGCGGGCCGCGGGGGCGAGCAGCCCGAGAGAGGCCTCCGAAGCCTTGGCCCTCGAAGTTCGAGCCTCAAGCCTCGTTCCTCGAAGTCTGAGACGTGGGGAAGAACACACAGACACAAATCATCGTCGATTCCCTTGAGCATCTGGAACAATAGGGGAAGGGGAGGGGAAACGACGAACATGGAGAACATATAGGGGAATGTACAAGGCATCCTGGGACTGGGCATCTAAGTATTCGTGTGCCCGTCCCTGTGCCCCGTCAAAGTCGGAGTTCCGAGGCCGACGTCGTCGATGTGGTTGTCGCCGCCGCCGCCGCCGACGGGCGTCGGGGCAGTGGCCTCGTCGGTCGTCCATCGCCGATATGGCGGTCCAGCCGCCGCCGCCGCCAGCGGCGAGGCGAGCGCGAGCGCGCTGCTGAAGTACGACGTCAAGGCTCCGAGGAGGAACTTGTGTGGTCAAAAGCCGGGGTAGCAGGGCGCCCGAAGGGCGTGGAAAGGCCCGGCGAAGCACTCCGGAAGGATCTGGAGGGAGCTTCCGAAGGACCTTCTCTTCTGGAGAGCTTCCGGGCACGCGTGTTGGGAAACGCTTAGAAAAGGCCTCTCGGGACACGCTGCGAGTTCCAGCAGGCCCCGCCGCGAGGCTCCCTGCCCGCCGCTGGAACGACCTCCGGGGCCACCCTGCGGCTCCGGCTTCTGGATTCTGAAGCCCTCCAAGCACTCAGGGAGCTGTCCGGGAACATGCGCTCATACCGCTACCATCCTTCACTCGTCTTTCGCCGCTTTGGGGCCTCTCCAGAGGCCCCATCGTCGCCACGGCCAGACTCGCCTCGAAGGTCTGGTCCGAGCGCGCCCCTTGGACAGGTGCTCGGCGCAGCGGCATCCGCACCTTTGCCGCTTTCCGCCAAGGCCTTCGCTCGGGGCGTGCTCGACGACGCCAACGAGGTCCGGCTGCGCGCACCAAGGGGCCCTCGGCCGGAGAGTGACCTTCCCAGAGGCCCTGGCGTTGCAGTGGTCCGCCGCGGGCGGTCCTGCCCGGCGTCGGGCCCGGGAGCCCCCACGGGCCGATGGGGCTCGCAGAGTGCCGCAGGAGTTATAAGGTGGAGGGGGAAGGGGGTCCTCTTCCTCCTAGCTCCTCCTCCTCCTCCTCCTCCTCCTCCTCCTCCTCCTCCTGCTCCTCCTCCCCCTTCTAATCCTCCTCCTCCTTCTAATCCTCCTGCCCCTGGTGGTGGAAAAGGGGTCCAGGGCTCCGGCCGATCTTTTCCACGACGTTGCAGTTCGTTCTTGACGCTGGGCCTCAGGGAAGAGTGCCGGCGGCGAGCCCAGGGGGGAAGTATATAAGCACGGGCGGGCCTTCTCAGAAGGCTCGGAAGTCCCCGGGCCTTCCGAGTTTCCTGAGCCTTTCCCGAAGACGCCGATCACCTCTCAGAAGGCGCGAGGGCTATGCATCGGCGATCCTCCGAGCCCATCTACCCAGATCCCATCTAGGAGGCCTCTACAGGAGCGAAAGAAGGACGTACACGCCCATGAATCCACATTGGTTTCGAGAGCGCAGTCAACCCGCACAGTAAAGACGAGCAATGTTCCCAAGGGTGCTTTTGCATCCTTGCCTCCTCGGTCCATCCTTGGCCACTTTCGTTGGCCAAACCAACTCGAAAAAACGTCATCATGGCTTTCAAAGGCCCTTGCATACTTACCGTGCCTCCTTATGATGCGGGTCAACTGTACGCAGTGCGCGAACGTTCAAATCACGCGGCTGGTCTCGCGGCCAAGGGGGCTGTGCGTGGATGGGCGTGTACCTCCTCTGTGGGCGAGGTTTGCTGTGCACGTGGTTGGGCGTGGTTGGGGGGGAGGGCCGGGTTGGGATAATTAGAGGGAGGGGCGAGGGGGGAAGGCGGAGGAGGAAAGACAGGGCAAGAAACAACCATGGAGAACCGCAAAAAGTTTGGGGCCCACGCGGATTTCTCGGATCGGCGCCGGGGCGCTCTGCGCGCCAGGGCGTGGGGCCCAGCGCCGATCCGAGAAGTCCGCGCGGACCTCGTTGCCTCGTCCCCTGCGAAGCCCCAGCCTGGAGGAGGAGGAGGAGGAGGAGGAGGAGGAGGAGGAGGATGGGGAGAAGGAGGAGGAGGAATTTGGGATGAGGATGGGAGAAGGAGGAGGAGGAGGAGGAGGAGGAGGAGGAGGAGCCTTGCGTCTCTCCTCGAGTGCAGCCTGCGAGGTCGCAGGCCGCGTCAGGCCGTGGGCCGTGCGCGGGGAGGCCTACCAGGACCAGAGCCAGCACCCGCGGCCGGGCCAGCCGCCCCCCCCGAGGCGGGGGCTGATGCAAGCGGGGGTCAGTCAGAGCGCCAGATTCTGCAGGATCCTGCAGGATCCTGCAGGGCCAGGGGTGCATCGACCCAGGCTTGGGTGCAGGACCCTGCAGCTGCAGGATCCTGCAGGATCCTGCGGGGCTCCTGCGAAGCCTGACGGACCGGTCCGGATGGACCCGGGCCAGCGCGACCCCATTGCAGGGGCGGCCGGGGCCGCCATCTCCTGGCAAATGCCCCGGAGAGGGGACCTCCTCCGCCCCTCGTGCGTCGAGGAAGGGTGTCGGCGGCGAGAGAGAAGACGAAATGTCGGGTTCGCGAGGTTTTCGGGCGTTTACGTCGGTTCTTAGCGGTTTCGCAGCCCAGGGGTGGTCAGCAGTTGCGCCTTGCCGAGGGCGTTCCGGGGGTCCCTGGATCGTCCCGAACGGCCGCCGGGGATCCGATTCATCATGACCCCAAAGCTGCATTCCGCGGCTTGCCCGCCACTCAGCGGCGAGCTTGGGGGAGAAGTGAGAAGGGGCGGGCCTTCTCAGAAGGTTCGGAAGTTCCCCAGCATTCCGAGAAGTTTTCCAAGCCTTCCCCATAGACACAGGAGGCTATCAGAAGGCGTGAGGACTTCTGAGAAGTCCTTCTGAGAAGGCCTTCTTCTTATCCTTCTCATTTCCCCCCTCGCCCGCCGCCAATCCAAGGTGGCCCCAAGATGGTCCCAGAGTCAGGCAAGTGGGGCCTCCAGGGTCCCCAAGCCGTGCGTTCACTGAGACTCTGCGGTGGCGTCTCTCGGGATCTCGAGGTCACGGTCAAGGCACCGGGGTTGTCGACGCTGAAAATGTTCAGAGCAAGTGCGCGGCAAGCTTCGCAGCAGGAAGCAAGTGAGCGGCCTGGGAAGGGGGAGAGGAGGGGGAGGAGATGGGGAGTGGGGAGACGGAGGCAGAGGGGAAGGAGAGGGAAGGAACGGGGAGGGGGGAAGAGGTGAGAGGGGGGATGAGGAGGGGAGGAGGAGGGGAGAAGGGGAAGGGAGAGGGGGAGGGAGGAGGGGTGGGGGCTGGCTGGTGTGGTTAGAGGCAGCTCCTGCTTCGGGCCTCAGGCCGGGGCCCGAACACGAGGTGCCCCGGACCGGAGGTATCCCAGATCAGTTGAGCGTGTACCCCGTCTTGGGAGCACCCAAACCAGGTAGTGAGACATCAGGTGGCGACCTGGAATTCCCCCCCGAAAAATAAATACCGTCTGGTTTCAGAACACGGGTCACCGCCGTGTTTGGTGACTCCTGGACCCACCAGCGTTCGAGGCATCCTCGGAAAACCACACGAGTCCCCAAACCAGGTGGTGACACCAAATCGCCCGAGACTCACCGCCGGGTGAGGTCACCGCCGCGTTTGGGGGCCACCAATGATTGGGGTTGGGGGTGGTCAGGTGTAAGTGAAGGTTTGCGCGTCTTGGTCCCAGGTTGGAGTTACCCTGAACCAGAGTTCTCCCAGATAACTCGGGCGTGTACGGAACAACTCGGGCGTCCCACGGGTCGACAGGAGCTCTCGCTTGTTCTGTATCCTCATGGGGAGGGGAGGGATGAGAGCCGGTGACGCGACGATTTGCGCGGGCGCCGTCCAGGAACGTGCAAATCGTGTTGTCTCCAGGGAGGGGGAGGGGGGGAGGTATTGAGCGGCGCTGTCGCGAACAGTCGGGGGGGGCGAAATGGGTACGGAACCATGGGGAAGAAGTCTAACAGATTTCATTGTTTATTCCGAAAAGCACACGCTGCCGGCGTCGCCGCGGTCGCTGTCTCTTTGATACACAAACTCGCTTGCCCGGCAGCGGTGGCTGTCGACTTCGGGCAGCATGTATTTGTGGGCATCCAACGCAGTTGTTCCGTGCCTATTTCGGGCGTTCGCAACTTGGCGACGAAACCAGCGCGAGGTGGGTCCGCCACTGTGGGTATCTGCGCACGCGTCTGAACGTTCACGATGCCGTGACTCTGGTGGAAGAACCTCGGCTCGGCGTGCCGCCTCGCCGGGCCTGCCCCGGCGCGCCTCGGCGCGACGCGCGACCTCTCCAGTTTCCCCGGGTCCCCCGGCGGCAGCGCCGCGAGCCTTCCCCGGCCTCCCGCCCTGCGGAGCGGAGCCCGTGCGCTGGCAGCTTGCAGGGCCGAGCGTGTCGCCGGGGGCCGCCGCCGCGGCACGCTATAACTCAGGAGGGAAAAAAACACACACAGACACAGGAGGAAAATTTGGGAAAGTATGGGAAGTGGGGGGGAAGACAGAAATCCAGAAAATATTGGGGATTTTTTTATTTGTGCGTATTTTTTGTGTGTCCTGGGGCCCCTTCAATAACGCAGGAGGCCTCGCCCGGCCCGTGCGGCGGGGCCCCCGCGGGGGGGGGCGACGGGCGGCCACGGGGCCCCAGAACTGCTCCTGCGTGGCGCTGGTGCAGTGCGGCGTGCGCATGCGGCTGCCCATGAAGATCTTCGCGCACAACTTCGTGGAGCTCGTGCACGGGTCCCCTCGGGGGGGGGGGGGCCTGAAGGGGGTGGCGCGCCTGCGTCCTCCCTCCCGCCCCCCCCCCGCAAGAGGGAGCGCGCGGGGAGGAGGAGGAGGAGGAGGAGGAGGAGGAGGAGGAGGAGGAGGAGGAGGAGGAGGAGGAGGACGCTGGCGCTGCTGGCGCGCATTCAGGCTCGCGAGGCCAGCGCTGGCCACGCCACTTCGCCCGTGCAGGGGGTGGTCCCTGCATCAGGCTCCGCTCACCCTGCCTCGGCCTTGAGTGGTTGGCAGGCGCCGCGTGCCGCAGCCCCCCCCCCCCCCCCCCCCGCACGCCGATCCCTCCCTGCGCCGACTTTGCTGCGGAGGAGGAAGCCGCGCGATTCCCCCAGTCGGAGGGGGGGCGCGGGCGGCGAGAGCTGGGCGGCGCCTGCCTCGAGGCAGTTTGGAGCGCGCCCAGCTCGCGAGGAGGCCGAGGCACCTCTGAGCGGTGGTTCTTTCGATGGTTTGGCTGCCCCCACACGAGGCCCTGTCCTTGGTGCCAGGCAGGCGCCGCCTGCCGCCGTCTTTTCTGCGGACGAGGTTGCTGCGCGTTTTCTCCAAAGGAGGCGGGGGGCGCAGGTGGCAAGAGCGGGGCGGGGCCTGTTTCGAGGCAGGCTGGAGCGCCACTAGCTCGCGAAGGCGGCGAAGCACCTCTCGAGGCGAGGGTAGGCAGCGAGCCGGGGGACACCGGCTGAGTTCTACAGCGGGTTAGTGTACGCGTTCTGTCACTTGTTTACGCAGTCCTGCCGCGCTGCGGCCTCAGCATCGTTTGCACCGCCTCAGGCTGCTGTTGTTTCGGTTGGGCGCTCGAGCATCCGCCTCGGGCGCCCCGTCGTTGGCACGTTTGCCCTCAGGTCATGCCCCAAGGGGACCAATGATGGCCCCGAGGAGTCCCCCGCGCGGGCCGCCCGTAGCCTTGAGTCGGGTATGTCCCTCGACAGGGGGACTCTTTAAAAACAGCCGCACAAATAATATAGGGGAATACTTTTGTTGTTAAAGCATTGGTTTGTGTATTTCGGGGGTCTGTTTTTTGGTGCAAAATCCGCCTGGTAGGGGGACATGCCCGACCTGACCGTTGCCCGACCAGCGCCTGCACCGCGCTCGCAGTCTTTCGCCCGCTTGTTCCAGAACTGTGTAGAGCTTGTGTTGCGTGAGTTCCAAAACCCCAGGCCCCCCGTCGGCATGATTTCTTCATACCCGGTCGACCCTGGAGGTCTCGACCCATGCCCCGGGACCGGTTGTTCGCATTGAGTTGTTGTTTGACGGCCCCAAAGCCTAATAAGGGCCCCAGGAGGCCGAACATGACGAACAACGCTTCCCGTCGTCACGACGTGCGGATTTCTTTGGGCCGGGAATGAAGACCAACAGCACATCCACGCGAAGTTCATGTCGTTCTTCGCTCGCCGCTTGGTTTTTTTTCTACCATCGGCAGAGGTCCACGCGGAAATCCGCTGCAGCACGTCTGCAAGGCCGGTGCAGTGGCACTTCTCCTGAGTCGGGAGCCTTGAGACGGGGGTCAATGCAAACGGGGTTCAGCCACGGCACCGGATCCTGCAGGATCCTGCGAAGACCCCCTTTGGCTGACCCGGGTTAGCCAGCCGCTCGTGGCCGCGAGGCGGCCGCGCATATTGGCTGACCCGGTTTTGCGAAGACCTGCGCTGCAGTTATTTTGTTCCTGCATTGCAGTTTTTGGTTTCCTGCTGACCCGGGTCTGGATTGACCCGGGTCAGAAGATCCCCGAACTGAGGGTGGCGCAGCGCGCCCAGAGGTCCACCCGCGTCGCCGTCTGCGCCGACGCCGCGGGGGCCCTGCGCCGCTGGGCGGTGCTGTCGCTGGACATGGTCAACGACAGGCGCGCGCGGGCCGCCCCGCCGTCGGTTGTCCGCCGGCGGCCCCGAGATCCTGGCTCGGACGTCCATTCCGTGTGTTTTTGTTCGGTTTCGTGCGTGGTTTTTTCGCCAAATGGTCAAGGATGCTCCTCGATGGTCCTCGCCGAAGGAACAATGCACACGTCCGAGCGATGCCAGGGCCCGGAGATCCTGGCCCAGACTCCCCCTCGCGCTGTATTTGTGTATTGTTCGTATGTTCGGCCTCCTCTTCGTCCTCCTCCTCTTCGTCCTCCTCCTCTTCGTCCTCCTCCTCCTCCTCTTCGTCGTCCTCCTCCTCCTCCAGATCACGGTGGCAGGTTTTTGTATTTTTTGTATTTTCGGCCTCCGGGGGCCCTTGCCGGGCTTCGGGGCCTTCAGGAGACGATTCGGGATGGAAAGCCGGTCCCGGGGAAGGGGTCGGGACCTCCGGGGGTCGACGTTGTGAACAAATCGTGACGCAAAATCATGACGTGGGGAGTCTGGTGCGTTGCATGCGTGTCACAATTTGGCGATTGTGCGTTGTTTCGGTTCATGTGACCCTCACGGGCGATCCTTTCAGAATGCCGCTCATGGGTTGCGGTCGAACTGTTCTACGATGTTGCATTTTTCGTGACGTTGCATCTCAGTGGGTAGTGTCGCCCGCCGTCGTCCGTCGACGACGACGTCGTCGGCGTCGGCCTCGTTGTTTTGGGTGTTCCCGCCGGTTCTGGGAGGTCTCTTCGCGTCAGGGTGCTCTCCAGCGGCGGCGCCCCGTCGGGAGCACTCAGGGGATGCATGGATCGTCCAGGATGCCCGCCAGAGCCAACGTATGGGCCGAAGCCCGGCGAGGACGCCGTTGCCGCTCATTTCTGAACGGCGGCGCCTCGTCGGGAGCACTCAGGGGATACATGGATCGTCCAGGATGGCCGCCAGAGCCAACGTCTGGGCCGAAGCCCGGCGAGGACGACCTCGTTGCCGCTCACGTCTGCAGTGGGTACTTGTCTCCCGCTGTACGCCTGCAGCTGAGGCGGAATCGTCGTCCGCGTCGGGCTTGGACCTGATCCAACATGGTGCGGAGAGGGGGGTGTGCGAGCACGCGTTCTCTTCCCCCGTGCACCGCGGCCCAATTCGCACATGGTGCGCCCCACAGATGCCCAATCGCCGGAACAGTAACCTCACTCCAGCCGCCGACGCAAAAGGGTGTGCGGGCACGTGACGAGAAGGGAGAGAGGGGTGATGATGATGATGATGATGATGATGATGATGATGATGATGATGATGAGGAGGAGGAGGAGGAGGAGGAGGAGGAGGAGGAGGAGGAGGAGGAGGAGGAGGAGGAGGAGGAGGAGGAGGGAGGAGGAGGAGGAGGAGGGAGGAGTAGAGGAAGGAAGCAGGGGGGAGAAAAGCGAGCCTCGTGAGGGGAGGAGTTTTCTTTCTCTCCGCGGATTGTCACCAGCATTGACACGGGGGGGCTTGTACGTGCAACGAACGGCAGTGCAAATGTCACTGAGTACCTCTTCGAGAGGGAAGCGGAGGAAGAGGAAACGGGCGCCGAGATAAAGGGCCAGTGGAAGAGGAAGGCGGGGGAGGAGGAGCGGGGAGGACGAGGAGGAGGAAAAAGACGGGGACGGGGGGGGACAGTGAAAAGAGTGGGAGGAGGAGGAGGAGGAGGAGGAGGAGGAGGAGGAGGCGGAGGATGGACGAGGAGGATGGCGCGAGCGAGGGAAGAAAGAGACAAGAGGGACCGCGGCGGCGGCGGCGGCGACGACCACGACCACGACCACGACGACGACGACCACGACCACGACCACGACCACGATCACGAGTATGACCACGACGACGACGACCACGGCAACGACGACGGCGAGCTGCTGGCAGGCGCGCTGGGCGGCCCGCGTGGAGCGGCTGGTCGTCGTACGACCGCTCGGGCGCGGACCTCCCCGAGAGCATCGTGCAGCGCGAGGACGCGGCCAGGGCGCGGCGACGGGGGTGAGGAGGAGGAGGAGGAGGAGGAGGAGGAGGAGGAGGAGGAGGAGAAGGAGGAGGACGACGAGGACGAGGTGGAGGTGGATCAGCGACTACAAGGAGGAGGAGGGTCAGGAAGAGAAGGAGGAGGAGGAGGAGGAGGAGGAGGAGGAGGAGGAGGAGGAGGAGGAGGAGGAGGAGGGGGAGGAAGATCCGGAAGAGGAGTATCAGGAGGAGGTTCAGTGGGCCCTGGAAACGACAGGGCCGCTTTTGTTACCGGTTCCGTTTTGCCGGTTTCGTTGCCGGTTCCGACGCCCTTTTTGTTGCCGGTTCCGTCGCCGTTGTTCCTCCTGCTCCAGCTTCTGGTTCCAATCCCAGAGCCGTTTCTGTTGTCGTTTCGGGTCGCCGTTTTATTGCCGTTTCCATGTTTAAGACATTTCTTCTGAGACGGAAGAACATCGTCCCTGCCGTTTCCGGGGCCGACGACGGGAGGAGGATCCGCGACTACAGGCGGCGAAGGTGAGTTGCGCGGGGGTGTGGGCTGCGATCCGCGTCGATCGTTGGGCGGGGCGCGACGCTGTCGCCTCCCACCTCGCCCCTCTCTGGCGCTGCCCCACTCCGTGCGAAGTGTCCCCCCGCCTGCCATGCATTGAGCCTGCCGGCAGCCATGAGCAACCGGTCTCGGTCATACCGAACAGGCAGCTTCGCTGCCCGCTGCCAGTGACCAAGGACTGTACTGTTGCCCCAGTGTCGAGGAGGAGGAGGAGGAGGAGGAGGAGGAGGAGAACCGGTCTCGGTCATACCGAACAGGCAGCTTCGCTGCCCGCTGCCAGTGACCAAGGACTGTACTGTTGCCCCAGTGTCGAGGAGGAGGAGGAGGAGGAGGAGGAGGAGGAGGCGGAGGGGGGAGGGAGGAGGAGGAGGAGGAGGAGGAGGAGGAGGGGGTGGAGGAGAGGAGGAGGAAGGAGGAGGATAGGAGGAGGGGGAGGAGGAGGAGGAGGAGGAGGAGGAGGGGAGGGGAGGAGGGGGAGGAGGAGAGAGGAGGAGGAGGGAGGAGGAGGAGGGGGGGGGTAAAGGATGGAGGAGGAGGAGCAAGGAGGATGGAGTGTAGTGGAGGAGGAGGAGGAGGAGGGAGGAGGAGGAGGAGGAGGGGGTCGGTATTCGTGATACGCAGGTGGGGCGGAGGAGGGCTGCCTTTCCAGGCCCCCCGTGGATGCAGGGCGAGGCCCCATTCCAGCCTCACCGCCACTTTACTCTCGCGTTACTCAGGAGGGAAAGAAACATACAGACACAATTCATCGTCGATTCCCAGGAAAATATGGAAAAATATGGGAAGTGGGGGGGAAGACAAAAACCGAGAAAATATGGGAAAATATGGGGGATCCTTTTATTTGTGTGTATTTATTTGTGTGTCCCAGGGCCCCCTTCAGTTGCAGTGCACATCACGGCCACATATTCCCTTGCCAGCAAGTTCGGGCCACTAGCAGTAGCCTTACCGACCAGGCAGCCGTCTCTATCATCGGCCGTACGATGAGCGGGTGCAGGAGGCTTTAGGGACTTAGTGGACAGGATGGGTGGACTGGGGGAACCAACTCATGGTAAAGAAGGGTAGCTGCAGTAAAATTGTTTTTTGGTTCTCTCTCTATATATATGTATATCTCTCTATGTGTATAGATAGGCGGCTTTACTTACAGGCCAGTCGACGTAGACGGTTCGAGCCTACTGAAGCACACAGCTAGGCATATAATTGCCGACACAGACATTGCCTTCTCAGGATCCGTCCTCCCTCCTTACGCTCAACTGTTTTACTGCCTGCTGCTGTTCACTGCCATTTTGGCGAGCCAGTAGCGGGCAGGCCATCAGGGCCCATGCGGCACGGCAATCAAGAGGTCCATGATGGACGAGCACGCAAGGTACGCTTCGCATCCCTTGGCGCAAATGCCTGCCCTGAGCCACACGTTCCGGTCAAAGTGCGCGATCATGCCGCGCATAGAGATCGCTTCTGCCGCAGTGCAATTTACGTCCTTGGCCTTGGTACGCTTTCCACCTGGACGGCGAGAAGACGTCGACGAGGGCGGCAGTCTTCGCCTCACTCCGACTCGGCACCTCCAGCGTCGCCCCGCCTCGCCACCCTGTCACGCCAGGCCCTCCTACGCGCTCCGAGGCCAGGCATCGCCGGCCCAGCAGCGTGTGCCAAAGTGGGCTGGATGGGGACTGGCTTGGCGGGTTTAGGTGGGTGCACGGGAGGGGAATATTCACGCTCAGGAGGGGACAAAACACACAGACACAATTCATCGTCGATTTCCGAGAATGTATGGGAAACTATGGGCACTGGGGGGGAAGACAGAGACCGAGAACATGTGGGAAAATATGGGGAATCTATTTATTTGTGTGTATTCATTTGTGTGTCCCAGGGCCCCTTCATTCGCCTCAGGCCAGCCTGTTACGGTGCCAGCCTTGCTACACTAAGCAGTCCTCGCTGGCAGGGGTGCAGGGGGGGTTGCAAGAGCCACAGTGGTGGCCACAGTGACGGTCTCCCCCTCCAGGAGCTGAAGCGGTGAAGGGGCCTCCCCCCGAGGAGCCGAAGCAACAACACGGGCACCAGAGCTATTCTGGCAAATTGCCCGTGTTGCCCTACGTCTAGGCCGGCCAGTGCAGACATGTGCTAGCCTGAGCACTGGCGCGCCCAGGCATCCTGCTTCGTCACCCGTGCACGGTCCTCTCTTCTGATGGGCTTGTTTTCTACTACCACCACCACCATAAGTGAAGGGGGGAAGGAGGTGGAGGACGAGGAGGAGGAGGACGAAGAGGAGGAGGAGGAGGAGGAGGAGGAGGAGGAGGAGGACGAGGACCCCCTCCCCCTCCAACTGATGGTGGTGGTGGAAAACAGGCCCATCATCTTCTGCATGTTCTCACTCTGCTGCCCCTCGGAACGGCACAGCTTCTGCGGTGCCCTGCGCGCGTCGCCCGTGCTGGATTCCCTTTTTTTTGTTTTTTTTCTCTGGGCGACCTTCGCCTCAGACGCTGCAGACCTGACAAACCTGATGGGATGGGCGGCTTATCGCGGGAGTGGGGTACATGCCGATCGTCGAAAGTAGGTATTTCTGGCTTCCCAGATCCCAATCTACTTTCAAGCGTCTCCCTACCTCAAGCATCGAGGCGCTTCTGCTGTGCTTTGTCATTCTCTGGGAGGACCTGGACCCAATCTACGATATCCGCCTTCCTACTTCATGTTTCTGCCTACTTCTTCCGACCGACGTGTACACCCTAGGCGATGCTTAAGAAAACTTAAGTTTTCGGCCAGAGTCTCGATTAGTCTTAATGTTTCAATGTAGATCCTAAGATATTAATGGAAATGTTGTGTTTTTATTCAAGTTCTGAGACTCTGAATTTCTTGACCCATAATTTCTTAAGCATTTCGCAGGGTGCACTTCTTCCGACCGACGTGCACTCATTAACGCAACGCCAGGTCTGCAGCGTCCACGTAATCTCTGCGCCGGGCTCCCCGGGCAGCAGGCCGGGGGCTCGCGCTGCCCCTTCTTGCGTCGCCGAGGTATTACTCTGCACGTCTATATGTAGTCCCTCTCTCTGTTCGGCTCCTTTCGGATTTGATTCGGCTGAGGCTACTTTCGGGCTCATCTCGAGCTTGCCCCTCTCCACCATGCGGCCTGGCAGGCGCATATACTCGACCGCCTCTGGGCCCCGCACTCTTTCGCGTATCGTTGCCTCGCCTTCTCCCGCGGCGCCCGCCGGGCTTTCTTGGAGTGCGCTTGGCCGCAGTCGGCATCCTGCCTTTTTTCGAACGCCACCAGCATGCCTTCAGGTCCGCTCAGTGTCCAAAGGGAGGAGGGGGGAGTTTGGGATCAGGGATAGCGGGGATGGGGAGGTCAGGGCCTGGCAAGAGAGGGGGGGGGGGACAGCACCCTCTTCCTCTTGCTGCTCCTCGCACACCTCGATGCTGCTGGCACCGGTGCCAGTCGCGACGCTGCCCCCTCGCCTCCCAGGGGCTCGTCCCGAGTCTCGGGGGAAAACAAACCTACCTCGCTTTTGACCACCCTCGCTTCCAAGAGATATTAAACGATGCCAAAGTGCGGCCTGTACTGGTCAGGCCGCTTGACGAGGAGGCGCGTGGTATGTCTTGGTTTTGCCTGGAAGCGAAAGCGGGGGAGGTAATTCACGCTCTGGAAGTCCTCCGGCTCGCGGCGATTCGATTTCGACGGCTTCCGATTCCGAGTGGACTCGACTTCGCGTTCCGATCTGGGCTCCGACTTTTCTCTATGGAGGCCTACGAGCCGGCCGGTTTCCCCCGGCCCGATTTTCCCGACTCGGTTGCCAGTGTCCGCCGATCCGACTCGCTTCGGTTGCCGATCCGAGGTCTCGATTCGACTCTGGGCTTGGGTCGGGCCTGTCCCCCGACAGGGGGAATGTTCAAAACGAGTCAAAAAATAGCCTGGGACGATTGTTTGAGCATTTGTTGGCCATTTTGTTTTTTATTGTTAAATAAAATGGTTCGTCCAAGATCCGCCTGTGGGGGGACAGGCCCGACCTAACTCTGGGCCCTCCCTGCCTTGCCTCCCGGGCGGCAAGCGCGGCCAGGGAGGAACACGCCAGGAAACAAGGAGCTCATGCTGCTGCTGGTGTCTGGGGCACGGGTGCCTTCCCTGAGACGCTGCCCCCACCCGCAACGCAGGATGAGGATCAAGACATTACCGTATGTCGTGTTCACGCGGCGTCGCCCAGGATGATGATCAGAGAACTTGGCCCCGGGCCAGGAAACCTTTTGTTCAATCGTTTCGTCCCGCCCTCTTCGGGCGCGCGCATGGACAGTCAACCGCCGACGGGCCAAACGGAGCCGAAGCGAAGCGGAAGCCGAAGATTGGGCAATTGTGCGGCCAATCGTGACCCACACGTTTTTTACGCATCGTCATCTTACCTTATTCCTGCCCGCGGTGAGTCGGAGGGCTCCCCCGTCCGAGGCACCCCTCCAGAGCACCGGGCTCCCCCCCGCCCTCGCAGGAGTGGGACTGGACGTACCGGACCGACTACGCCCCCAGCGCGGGCGTTGCCAGAGGTCCGGCGGCGAGCGAGGCGGGAAGTGAGGAGGAGAAGGCCTTCTCAGAAGGCGGCGGGACTTGTCGCAAGCCCTCGCGCCTTCTGGGAAGTGTTCGGCGTCTTCGGGGAAGGCTCAGAAAACTTCTCAGGGGGCGAGGGGACTTCCGAGCCTTCTGAGAAGGCCCGCCCCTCCTCACTTCCCCCCCTTCGCTCGCCGCCGAGAGTCGGTGCTGGCCCAAGGTGTCCCCGGCGTCTCGCGACGCCCTGGAGCCTCTCGTTGGGGCCCTCTGCGCCTAGCTGGGGGGGGGGGCTGGACTTCAGCATCAACACCAGCATGGGGGGGGGGCTGCACGGTCTCCACCAGGGGAAGGTGACCCTGGATTGTGGTGCTGGCGGTACCCGTCGGTCGCTGGAAACAATTAGGTATTTTTCCTAAGCTCCTTGTGGTGGTGGGTCCTCGGTTTGAAGAGACAACGCCCCACGTCACTCCTTCTCCTCCTCGTCCCCCTCCTGCCTCCTGCACTGATCGCTGGTACACTCCTCACATGTTTCATTGCCCCAGAGGGGGCTCCACAGAGTGCCTCTGTGGCGCAGTTCGCGCGTGAGCGTCACGTCTGTTTCGGCACACCCCTTGCACGTTTCGTGGCCCCATAAGGGGGCTCCATCTAAGGCCCCCGTGGCGCAGCTGGCGGCGTCACGCCCGTTTCGGCACACCCCTCACACGTGTTTCGTGGCCTCATAGAAGGCTGCACCGAGTGCCGCCGTGGCTCAGTTTGCATGTGGGCGTCACTCCCGTTTCGGCACACCCCTCACACACTTCGTGGCCCCATGAGGAGCTCCACCGAGTGCCTCCGTGGCGCAGTTCGCATGTAGGCGTCACGCCCGTTTCGGCGCACCTCTCACGCGTTTCGTGGCCACATAGGGAGCACCGAGTGTTTCCGTTGCGCAGTTTGCATGTGGGCGTCACGCCCGTTTCGGCACAAACTTCGCATGGTTCGTGGCCCCATTAGGGGGCTCCACCTAAGGCTCCAGTGGCGCAGTTCGCATGTGGGCGTCACGCTCGTTTCGGCACACCCCTCACACGTTTCGTGGCCCCAGAGTGTTCCCGTGGCGCAGTTCGCATGTGGGCGTCACGGCATTCCTTACACGTTGTGTAGCCCCATAGGGCGCTCCACCGAGTGCCTCCGTGGCGCAGATCGCATGCGGTTCCCTACCCATGTCGGCAAACTCCGCATACGCTGCGTTGCCCCATAGGGCGCTCCACCGAGTGCCTCCGTGGCGCAGTTCGCATGCGGTTCCCCACTAATTTCGGCACACCCTTCACACGTTTCGTGGCCCCATAGGGAGCTCCATCCAGTGCCTCCGTGGCGCAGTTCGCATACGGTTCCCCACAAATTTCGGCACACCCCTCACACGTTCCTTCGTGGCCCCATCGGGAGCTACACCGAAAGCGTTGGCCACAACGCGGTATTTACAACTTCCCTTTTCTTTCCTCTTCAGGGGGGCGGGCGGAAATCCAATCTACTTCAACGCTTTCCTACTGCGTGGCTCTACGCACTTCTTCCGACCGACGGGTACACCTGTTGTTTTTTCGGTCCCAGCATATTTCCTCGATTTCGGCGCTTGGGGCCAGCCATTTGGGCCCCAAGGCAGTCAAACGTTGACCCAGGAGCACAGAAGCCTCCCGGGGAAGCGGCCGGCTGGCGCACGTACAAACACATACCACGTCGACGGACCCAACCGTACGCAAAAGTGTGAGCACTGCAAAGACAGGTTCAACGAAGGGAGGGTGAGCTCCCCACGGGGCCACGAAGCGCGCGTGAGAAGCGTGCCGAAGTGGGTGCGGTGCCGCCGTGCGAGGCCTGCAGTGGGTCCTTCGGTGGCGCTCCCTCCGGGGCCACGAAGGCGTGTGCGGGTGCGGCGAAGTAGGTGCGGTGCTGCTCTGCGAACCCTGCCGTTGGGGCCTTCGGTTGAGCCCCCTATGG